TTCCATAGGTTTATTTTCAATGACCAAAGGATTTACGTTTTCGCTGACGTGCCACACATGCTAAAACTTTTGCGAAATCATTTCCTTGATCAAGGTTTCCTAATTAATGGGAAACCTGTGAAAAAGGAAATAATTTTGGAGTTATTGTCAATTACAAGCACGGACTTGACAATAACTCACAAGATTTCTGCAAGTAACTTGACCGTGGCTGGAGCTCACCGCCAAAAGGTCAAGACGGCAGCGAATCTATTTTCGCATACTGTGGCGCAGGCCATAACAAGTGCAGCAAGTCTGGGTCATTTGCAGAACCAAAACTGGACCGAATGCTTCCAGTTATTCAAAACAGTAAGTGTTATTATATTATATTATGAAATTGATATATTATATATTTTACTATATTACATATCGTTATCTTAATTCACAAAGGCTCTAACCAACAGTTTTTCGTAATAAAATATAGCTTAAATAAAAATTTCAAAGTGTTAGTACCAAAAGCAAGGGAGTTACATGCCCCTTTTTCAAAAGCTCTACCTATTTTCGATACTATTTTTATAACGTTTATTGCTTCTGCTATGAAATATAATTATTTTTTTGTTTAGGGCCTTTGTGAATTAAGGTTACGATATATTTAAACCGCAATATTAAAACTCATATTCAAATTATACACCTTAGACAAATGACTGGTTTGACGTTCTAAACGTCAGGGTGCCTCACGCCGACTCCAGGAAGCGGTGTCTTGCTTACGGTTTAGCAATCGAGGAGCAAAACAAGATCCTAGCCGAGATGACCGACCTAGTCAAAAATATGAGGGTGCTTGGCAAATTTAGTCTGCTGCCATTCCAAAAAGGTAAACTAATACATATGGTTATCTCAAGAATAACATTAAGGGCCGGTTGTTCAATGTCTGGTTATCAGTACTTGCCGGTTAAACATCAGTATCGACGTTTTCGATATCATGCATATAACATGTGATCGATAAAGCAGTCTTTGTATTTAACCGGAGCTTCTACCTCCGATTTGTGCTAATCAGACATTGAACAACCAGCCCTAAATGTTTGTTATTTTTTCTTACTATATCCCTAGGAATCATTCAAAGTAATACGGCGTTGAAGTTGTTATTCGAGGACATTAAAGCTCGCTTTAATGTCAAGTATGTCTTGACGTATCGGCTAAACCAAGACGTACTCGAAAATTTCTTCGGCATTATTCGGTCAAAAGGCGGGTTACATGATCACCCTGACCAACAGGAATTCAAGTACCGTCTGCGACTATACCTGCTAGGACACAACAAGGGCGTATTATCCGATTCTGCTAATGTAGAAGAGGATGATACGCCTGACATAGAAATCACGCAGCCTCCGCTTACAAGTAATTCAAAATAATTTTTTATCTATTTCATTCGGCTTAAATATAAAAATATATTTTATTAATAATCGCACATATATATTTCACCATATTTACAGGTATTTTGCTGAAAAACTTAAGCTCTAATGCAGAACTGTGGCCGGTTGAAGAAGCGGAATTAGAGGATTTGGAGCTAGACGGACTCGAGCATTTAGCGGGATATATTTGCCACAAGCTGCAGGATGACATTCCCAGCACGTCGTTCAGGAGCAATGACGACCATTCATTCTCCTGGGCGGATCACCTTAATGAGGGTGGGTTATCCCTACCAAGCTCCTCTATGATGGTCCATATGCGAAGTCTTGAGTCAGTCTTTAAGGCATTGAACGAAGATGGCTTGCTCATTACAAATGATTTTGTAAAAACTCACATTGAGCAAGCTGCAACAATTCAATGCGACATTAAAGTAAAAAAATTATTTTTCAGGGCAAGAATGTTCTTCAAAATACGAAAATTAAATAAAGAACTCGTTGAAAATGCCCACAAAAGAAAAAGAAAAGCCAAAAAAACTCTGACCTAGATCGATCCATATGGTACCATTATAGAACCGTAAGTATTGCATAAAATACCAAACATGTGGTAAGTTTTGAACTAAAGCGTTTTTAAATTTGTAGAAATTAACCGTTCTTTACTTGCAGCATGAATCAATGTCCGCATTTCACACGCACTGATCTCAGTATTTCAGACTCCTAAAATTAAAATACTTGCATGCTACGTAAGTCCCTAGTTTAAAAAAATCATCAAGCGTCTTTTATACAAATATAAACTTATTTATTTGCAGGCAAGTAATATGATTTATCCAAAGGCCCTTTTCAGGGCCGCCAATTAATTAACAAAGAGATTAAAATTTTATGCTTAGATAAATACATATATACCAATCAACAAGAGGCCCTTTTCAGGGCCGCAATTAAGTTGACAAAGAGATTAAAATTTTATATCCTATATATATTTATGTTCTGAACGTATATATGTATGCATGTATCTTTTTAATAATTGTCATTTAAATTGTATATTTTTTTACTTAGATTTAAAAGCAATTACTTGGTTTCGTTATAGTTAAACTTAACTAAGCGGATCAATAAAAATATAATATACTGCAAATATATGTATATAATATACTGCAAAATAAAGACTATAGTAGTAAAAATTTCAAATCGAATAAATGTTTATTAAAACTATACCTCATTGCACTAGCTTCCAAAAACAGAGAAGAAAAATAACTATGACGTACTGAGCTCTGGTTGTTGATGCAAGACTATTTTGCTGAGACTGACGCGACACACACCAATACACCAGGTTGGTTTGCACTAGTTGGTGTCGGCTGGTTTACAGAAAAACTATTAAACTCCAGGTTGATTTTCGGCGCCGATGAAGCAACTGAGCCGAAGATATCATCAAGGTTGACATTTGAAGTTGGTTGTACATTAATTTCTAAAATAGAAATGTAGGTCTCAATTCAGAACTTAGCAAATATTAATTTGGATGGCCGCCTAAAAGTCTAAGACTTTTTTGAATCTACCGAATCCTTACCTAAAATATCAGGTATTGGAGCCGAGCCAATGCCAGATGAATTATCATCCCCGAATGCTCCAAGCAAATCGAAACTAGCGTCACTCGTTGTGGCTTGTGGATCTTGCACCGGCAGCTGGGGTTGGGGCTGGTTTAAATTGAGCATGTCTATTGGTGGTGATGGTTGAGGTTGGATTCGAGGTACATCCTCTTGCTTTATTTCGGTAGCATCTGGTAAAATAGGCGTTATCTACGGAAGCAGCTGACCTAACAGGCGTAGGTTTGTTGATCGAACTAGGTTTTGTCACTGTTGTAAGGAAAATAAATAAATAATTGAAATGGGCGGAAATACTATAGGGACTTGCCGAAATTATCCACCATTTCCTCGAATTCTAATTGCGAACTAAATATATGTTGTGCGTTTCTTATGGGCTTTGCTGGTAACCAAGGAGGATTCCTACTCGGCGGAAATTCGTTATCCGTGAAACTCAACGACAGCGAAACTTAAAAGTCATGAGGAACCTGATCGGCATCCGGTAAATCATCGAGATCATTCGAGGAAAATGTTATCAATGTTTCTTGTTCCGGTATGAAGCCCGTGTTGATTTGGAATTGACAAATCTTTAAACTCTGAGGACGTACCATGCCTTTAAGTGCATTCCGCGCATGATAAAGCACCACTTCATTTATGGAAAATATGGAAATTAAGCTGCATCACCACCGGCATGCCGGCCGCGACTTATTTTTTCCAAACCCTGTAAGCAAAGTTTATATTAATAGGACACAAATTTGTTATTACTGCCACGCACTCACCAAATTAAATGATTCCACAAGCACAGTGCATGATTTAGAAGGCGGCAACTTAGTTGATTTTTCCTTTTGGTCCTTTGGAGATTTGTCAAAAGCTTCCACAGCTTCACAGTTCTCAAACAGCAACACCAGCCCACATACAATTGAAAGCACCACTTTTAAACACGACATGTTAAGTTGAAAACGTTGAAATACCACAATTTACAAATTAAAATCGGAGGTAAGCAAGCATCGACCACTTTCTGTAGGAAAACATGCGCTGCGACAAGATATTATCACTTTTCCGGCACCTCCAATACAAACACAAAATTTTTCTATTCTTTTGAACACATTTCAAGAGTGGTTGTATAATTTTTGTTAACGTTGTGCTTAATTTGCTATAAGATGGCTTGAAAAATTGGTGAATTGTGAACACGTTTTCTCATTGCAAATTCACAACTGTCAACTCATTGTTCTTCGCCATATTCTTTGTTTACCCGTTGCCACATACGTCATTCTGCGGGAATGCGCAATCTTGTATTCTATCGTTCTTGGGGAAATCCCTCAAGGTTTCGAGGATAATCGTAACAATTGGTGTCAGAAGTGGGATTGTTAAATTAATCCCGAAGGAGAAACTACTAAAAATGGCGAAAATTCAGGACTTAAAAATTGAGGAGCTGAAACAGGAGTTGGAAAAGCGTAATTTGGCCACCTCCGGAAGAAAAGTGGAATTGTTATCCCGGTTGCGAGAGGCTATGGAAGCTGAAGGCATCGACGTGGACAAATACGACTTCCAAGGTAAGCCCGACGATACATCCGCAAAGGACGAACAGAAGGATGAGGCTGCATGTTCGTCAAAGGATGTGCAACAGACATCCGGGAAGGTTGAAGAACAGCAAAATGCTCCTTGTTCATCAACAGGTATGGACATGAACACGTTATTGGCTGCCATGTCACAGATGATGCAGGAACAGAGGTCGCAGTTGTCGTCAGACGTTTCCTCACGGATGCAAGCCTTGGAAACACGTATATCTTCCGAGGTATCAGCGCAGGTGTCATCCCGGTTAGAAACTCAGCTACAGGCACAGGAGGCACGCATATCATCACAGCTGGAAGCACAGGATGAAAAAATTACACAAATACAGGACAAACTTGAAGAGAGACAGGAGAAAGTCGAGGCTAAGGTAGAAGAGTTGGAAGGTCGCCTCCGAGATATGCAGTTGAATCGCCCACCTTCTTCGACCAGCGCGCCCAAGGTAAAGACTCCATCCTTAGACGGCACGATTCCTTTCCAAGTCTTTAAGCTCCAGTTTGAGAAGACAGCTACAGCAAATCACTGAAGCATGGAGGATAAATCCGCTGCATTGTTCGTTGCATTAAAAGGACCTGCAGCGGAAATCTTGCAGACTATTCCTAATTGTGAAAGGAACAGTTACGATGCGTTAATGGGTGCAGTGGAAAGACGTTATAGTAGCGAGCACAGGAGACAGATTTACCAGATGGAGCTGGAGAATCGCTGCCAGAAATCCAACAAGACTTTACAGGAATTCGCCTCTGAGATTGAAAGGCTGGCTCATTTGGCAATTGGAGACGCATCTGGTGAGCACCTTGAAAGATTAAAAATCCAGAGGTTCGTCAACGGAATGCGGGACATGTATACCAAGCGAGAGACGTACGGGAATCCAAAGGCAACATTTGCTGAAACCGTCTCGTATGCTCAGACGCGTGAAACGGCGGCGCTCCTAAGTAGACCAGCCTACAAAGCACATCGTGTGGAAGTGGAAACACCGGAAGAGACAAATGAAATGCTTACGAAGATTATCCAACTGCTGGGCGAGAAAAAGCATGGTTCTGGCAAATGTTTTAAATGTGGAAAGTCAGGCCACTTCGCCCGCGATTGCAGCACAAGTTCCAATGGTCACAACAATTCAGCAGGACGCAAACGCAGGGCTGAAGGAGACGAAACCAACTCCAATCAGTCGTTAAACTAAAACGAGCCAGCAGCAAGGGGCGCGCGCTGGCTCCCGCAATTGAATGCCCCATAATCACCGTCTCGCGAATTGGCAGAAAAGCGAGCAACGTTACTGTTGGTGGATATGTGGACGGACATGAGCGAGTACTAACTGTGGATACGGGCGCATCACATTCCATCATTCGATCTGATTTGGTCACTAAAGAGGTAAGGCCATTACCTGGAGCAAGGTTGAGGACAGCAACTGGTGAGGACACCCAAGTTGTAGGGGAGATAACATGCAAAGTCGCAATAGGGAATGTGACGGTGTTACACAAGTTCATAGTCGCGGCGATTATGGATGAAGTCATCATTGGATTAGACTTCATGCTTGATCAAGGTATGAAGATCAACATGAAGAACAGGATTATGAGGTATAACAACATGGAAGTGTCATTTCGGTTTGGGTATGATGGTCCATACAGCAGCAAGCGAGTGATCCTAGAGGAAAGCGAGCAGATTCCACCGAAGTCAGAAGCAGTTGTGTGGGCAAAGATTGATGGAGATTGTGGGACAAACAAATTGTGGGCTGTTGAAGCAACACAAAATTCTACACCGGACGTACTTATTGGTAAAACCTTGGCTAACACGCAAAAGGATGGACGCATCCCAGTTCGAGTGCTCAATGAGTTCAAGTCACCAGTCAAACTCCGAAGAGGAACTGTACTGGGGCAATGTCGAGAGGTAGAGGCCATCTTTAACTGCGAAAAGTTACCTGAAAGCGATTCCATTGGCGAGAATGACATTGCGGAAGACATTAATGCATGGACGGAAGGGTTGGAAGAAAAATACCAGCACAAGGCTAAGGAACTTCTCCGAAGATACTGCAACATATTCGACAAGGATGGCGACAAACCAGGCAGGACTAACGTTGTGAAACATCGCATTGATACTGGCGATGCAAGGCCAATCCGTCAAGCTCCTCGGAGTGTTCCACTTGCCAAACGTGAAACTGTTAGCCAAATAATAAACGAAATGAGCGAGAGTGGTGTGATTGAACCATCAGCGAGTCCATGGAGTTCGCCGGTAGTACTTGTGAAGAAGAAGGATGGTCAAATGCGGTTCTGCGTAGACTACCGGAAACAGGAAGGACAGCTATCCTCTTCCCAGGATCGATGACACTCTGGACTCGTTGACTGGAACAAAGTGGTTCTCAACACTCGACCTTAAGAGCGGTTATTGGCAAGTGGAGGTAAGTGACGAGGATAAGGAGAAGACAGCTTTCAGCGTTGGAGACGGTCTGTGGCAATTCACGGTGATGCCCTTTGGATTTTGCAACGCTCCTGCCACTTTTGAACGACTTATGGACCATGTGCTCAAAGGACTGCATTGGAAAACATGTTTGGTGTATCTAGACGACATTATCGTATTGGGTAAAAGCTTTGAGGAACACCTGAACAATTTGGAAGAAGTTTTCCAGAGGATAGCTGGCGCTGGTCTGAAGCTAAGTCCTAAAAAGTGCTCACTGTTCAGGAAGGAGGTGAACTACTTAGGGCACAAGGTGACAACGGAGGGCATCTGTACTGCGAAGGAAAAGATAGAAGCAGTAAAGGATTGGCCAAGACCTAGGAACCTGCACGAACTACGAAGTTTTCTTGGGCTATGCACCTACTACCGCCGATTTGTTCCGAATTTCGCCAGCGTTGCTAAAAGCCTCCGCGAGCTCACTAGGAAAAATAGAGCCTTCGAGTGGAACAAGGAGCAGGAGGAGGCTTTCCAGACTCTGAAGGAACGACTATGTACTGCACCTATGCTAGCGTATCCCGTTCCAGGAGCAACGTTTATTTTGGATACGGATGCTAGTGGTTATGCCATAGGAGGCGTACTGTCGTAGGTAATTGATGGGCAGGAGAAGGTAGTTGCCTACTATAGCCGGTCGATTGGAAAACCAGAGAGGAACTACTGCGTAACTCGGAGAGAACTACTAGCGTTGGTGGACTGCGTCAAACATTTCCACAAGTACCTCTATGGGCAACGTTTCCGAGTTCGAACGGACCATGCAGCGCTGAAGTGGCTACTACAGTTTAAGAATCCAGAAGGACAGCTAGCTCGGTGGATTGAGAGACTGCAAAGTTATGACTTCGCTATTGAACACCGCAAGGGAAGTGTCCACGGTAATGCTGATGCCATGTCCCGCCGACCATGTAGCCTGGAATGTAAACACTGCTCAAAAGCTGAGGGAAAAGAGGACATTATAGACGTCCGTCTAACGACAATAACACCAGCGGAAGAGTGGAAGGAAGAACAGCTACGAAAGTGTCAGCAGGAAGATCCAGATCTAGAGCTATTGATGCATGGACTGGAGGTGGACAGGAGGCCAACTAAGGAGCAAATGGCAGCGGAAAGCCCCATCGCAAAGGCGTACTGGGCACAATGGAACAGATCTAGAGCTTTTGATGCAGAGTGGATTGCTAACTGCGCGGAGTGTATTGCAGCTAAGGGGCCGAAATCCAGAAGTCATGGCCAGATGAAGCAATATAACTCAGGTGCACCTTTCGAGCGGATTGCCATGGATGTAGCCGGTCCATTTCCTATGAGCGCACAGGGAAACAAATACGTCCTTGTGGTTATGGACTACTTTAGCAAATGGCCGGAGGTATACCCGATTCCAAACCAGGAAGCTAAAACAGTAGCGGAGGTATTCACCTACAATTGGGTTGCGAGATACGGTGTACCTATAGAGCTGCACTCTGACCAGGGAAGAAATTTTGAGTCGGCAGTGTTCCAAGAGATGTGCCAGATACTGGGTATCCGGAAAACTCGAACGACGGCTCTTCATCCCCAATCAGACGGCATGGTGGAACGGTTCAACCGAACCCTGGAAGAGCATTTGCGGAAGGTCGTGGACAAGAATCAAAAAGATTGGGATGCCCGCATACCCTTGTTCCTGATGGGATACCGGTCAGCAGTGC